CAGTGGGAAGAATACCCTTACATTGGTGGTTAGTGGGAAGAACAATCTTACAGTGGTGGTCAGTGGGAAGAATACCCTTACATTGGTGGTCAGTGAAGAACACCCTTACATTGATGGTCAGTGGGAAGAATACCCTTACATTGGTGGTCAGTGGCAAGAATGCCCATAGATTGGTGATCAATGGGAAGATTGTCCACTTAGAGATAGCTAAAAAGATAATTGCTCTCAATGGTTACTTATCTGAAAGCAGGAATTGATAATTTCTCAAAGAACCCCTAGCAGCTCCTGGAGGAACCCCTAGGGTTCCACTAAACCCCGACTGAGAAAGTCTGCTTTAGTGAACATGTAGAAGCAGAATAAATGGTATGATAACCTGACCGGCAGGTAAACCTGGCAGGTAACCTGACTATGATAAATGCTATGATAACCTGACTGGCAGGAGTTCATCATAGGAAATGCAATCTAAGCAATGTAACTGACGAGAGCAGTAAGGATACTTCCTGCTAGCAGAAACGAGCACCAGATCTCTGAGTAAGGACATCCTATTTCGCAACGGCCTCAGCAAGCAAGTTTGAAATTACTTTGCAGACGAAGCTGCATATATAAGGACATAAAACAGCTTTCAGCTCAGATACCTCACATGACTCCACAAAGAAAATATGAGCAAACCACTTGTCCACCACAGAGGTCAGAATGAATGCACAGTCTTGGAAGGCAGAACTGTCAAGCCTTTGTGCTTTCACACCAACAACAAAAAAAGTCAATATAAAAACAAAAAGTTAATATAAACATAAAAATAAAGAAAAATTATGAAAAGTTTTTTTGTTTTTTTTCATTTTTAGTAACATCTCCAGATTCATCAAAACACTTGTTTTTTATCACCGACATGTCTCGTTCAAACTGTAGTTCTAGTTCCACCATGCTATAAAGAAAACCACCAAGCTGATTGTACAATCTCTGAACAATATTCCTGTACCGACAGCTATGTAGTGTGGGGGTCTAATCCATCCATTACATTAAAGAAGAACTCAGAGAAAAATGTTTATTAACACCTACTCTCGAACAGCAAGGGTTAACTGCTTATTTTGGTCTAGGGAGGAAAAAAAACCTGTTATACTCACCCAATCCTCAACCAATCGCTGTGAAGCGATCCCTCTGGCACCACAATGCAATGCACAGAGAGCCGTGCCTCTGGTAATGCACAGTATTTCCCCATGCATTCTAGCAACGTAGGGATGCACCGATAACGGTTTTTCGGTATCGAGTATGAGTACCGATATTTTGCTATCGGTACTCGCCGATACCTAGTACCGATATTGGTGCTTCTGCTGGCATGGAGCTGGCTTCCCTGGCAATCAGGAAGCCGGGCAGCAGATAATGACATGCCACCCAGCTTCCTGATTGCCCGGGAAGCCAGCTCCATGTTGTTTGGCAGGCTTGATTGTGATTGGCCAGGAAACCAGCTTCCCAGCCAATCAGCATCGAGCCGGCTGTTAGATACTAGTATCAGTATTGGTGCATCCCTATAGCAATGTAATTCGAATATAAAAACTGAGACTGACAGGCAAATTCAAGTACAGAGAGTGATCCCATTAAAATCTATTTCCTTTATAACTTGGCACCTCTTTTAATTATAATGAGGACCGAGTGGTTAAATCTACAGGTGGAAAAACTCTTCATTACATTAATATAATGGAAATAAAAGATTCTGGTGGACTTGAACTTCATTTAGAGAAGTAGGAAGCCTACTAGATGTTTTTCTGGAAGAGCATAATATAACGGCTTACTGACATTTATGTACTACATACAGTAATAACATTTTGATCTTACATAACTGCTTTATTATTAAGGCCTCATTCACACACGAATCGGCCTGCACGTACAGCTCCATGCTGGGGCCGTACCAAGTAGCTGCCGGGAAGGACAGGTGCTGCGTGTGATTAGTGCGCAGCCCCTGTCCTTCTCTATGGGGCTACGCGGCCGTACGCCCCCATACGCTCACCTCATTTGCAGGTCCGTAGGGGTGCGGGTGATCGTATTCATATACTTGGTGAATGTATGCGTCCCGGCCAGAAATGCAATGCATGCGTTCTAATCACACGCAGCACCTGTCCTTCCCGGCAGCTACTTGGTACGGCCCCAGCATGGAGCTGTACGTGCAGGCCGATTCGTGTGTGAATGAGGCCTTAGGCATTAGAAAGGTTTTTTTTTACCCTGTTAAAGCAAACTGGACTAAACTGTGTATTATTTGTTTGTTTTTAATCTGCATTTCTCCTGTTCATCCTTTTGATTCCAAAATAAAAACAAAGGTGACAACTACAGCAGCCTTTCATTTTTCATGTTATTGCTCTACGTACTCAAGCCCCCTTATTGCAAACTGCATAGTTGCAGGTGGGCAGTCCGAGCCTGGCATGTCATCGGATCGCGCGGTTTCCTGTCGCGATTCCGCCCGTGCAATCAAACACGATTGGGACTAAAACAGCCGTGCGTCATGTGTTGCAAAAGTAGGTACATGTGCCTTTTTTCTGCGATTGCCGCGCAGATGTATCCCCATTGAAATCAAAGGGGCCGCACAGCAACCGCTGTATGCAACTGCACACGATCGAGCGGCCCCTGGATGTATGTGCGTCCCGGATCGCCTAGGTCTGCACCAGCCCTCAATGAGTTTGGACACCTGCTAGGGAGCACAGACTTATTAGGGCTAAACTTCCAAATAGGGACATCATTTCCATAGCTTGGCAAAGTTATGTATGCATGTGCTCAGGGAATTCCTATTTTGTTGTCCCATTCTAACATGATTGGATGTTTAAAGTGGACATGGGTTCACTTTGGTAAGTAAAAAATGCACCCTGTAAGTAAATCAGTGCAATGAGCCCTTTTTTTTTGTTTTTGTGATGAGATCTCAACTCCAGTCAAGAAGTGACGTTATTAACTTTAAATCATCTCATTCTGATTGGCAGGGGATGATCATGAGATGCAGATCTACACAGTAGGGCCCTGTTCACTCCTAGACATTTTGTTGCACATAAATACGCACAACCAAACGCGTAAAACAAGAAATCTCACTCATTCCTATGGCCCCTGTTCACACCTGAGCATTGTATTGTAAGCTGTAAATCGCCTGTCGCTGGAAAAAGCACATGCGCTTCTTTTGTACAGATTACAATGCAAATCCCTGGTGGTCAGCAAAGTCAACAGAACTAGTGTTCCCATTGGAAGACTTCCCATCTATTCCTGTTCTGGTGACAACTCAAGATCAGGTGATAACAGCCACCATAAAATTCTGAATTTCCCTAATGGGGACACAGACAGCAATAAAAACCTGACAGGAGTTCTGTAACTCTAAATATTCGTAACCCTTGCAGTGAGGCTACCCCTCCCCCCCCACACTACAAGGGTTAAAGTGCTCGTCCAGGGTCACAAATATAAAAGTTATACTCACCCGAACATCATAGCCGGCTGGCTCCTAGACCCCTAGACCCTAGCTCCCTGGAGCTTCTCTTTCCCCTCCGCTCCGGTGGTCTAAGGTCCTATGAGTCATCATGTCCTATACAGTGTATAGGATATGAGGACACTGAGGGACATTGCATGGTTGGAGCGTCGGGAGAGCGAGGCTGCAGGAACCAGTCTAGGAGCCAGCCGGCTGTGAGTTTCAGGCGAGTATAACTTTTTTTTACGACCTTAGATGAAAACAAGCACTGCAAGGGTTAAGAACATTCATAACCGGAGTTCTTCTTTAAGCATCACTGACCCTGTATAAGCATGCAGCAAACATCAGAGCCTGCCAACTAGTTCTAAGTCAAGGACTCAGGCTAGGTTAAGGCTAGGTTCACACCTGCACTACACCCCATGGCACCCGGGACGCAGCAATTGCGGCACGGCCCCGTTGATTTCAATGGGGTGACATCTGCGTGGCAATTGCAGGAAAAAGGTACAAGTACCTTCTTTTTGCGATACACGACGCACGACTGTTTTAGCCGTGATCGTGTTCGGAAGCACAGGCGGAATCGCGGCGGGAAACCGCGCGATCTGCCCAGCGTGACTGGCGTGCCATTAGAAAATAATGTCACCCACAGCGCAATCGGTTCACACTTTGGCTACTCCTGACCGCGCGGCAATCCATGCGGAATCGTGCACGATTGACGCGCGGTGAGGTTTTGCCAGGGTGTGAACCTAGCCTCACACCTAGGCGATTTATCGTGCGGTTTTTAGTGCGCGATATCGCACAAAACAGAGATTTGCATGCAAGTCTATGGAAGCTGTTCACACCTTTGCGATTTGTCGCACGCTAGAAATCGCTTGTCGCACAAGAGGGTGCAGGAGCGATTTTGGGGCGGTTCTCAATGCATAGAGATGTCTATGGAACCCAAACCGCGCGACAACCGCCCCAAAATCGCTCCTGCACCTTCTTGTGCGACAGGTGATTTCTACCGTGCGACAACTGCGCGGTTTTCAAAGTAAAGTCATGTGAACAGAAACGCGTGACAACTGCACGAAAACAGCTCAGTCGCTTAGGTGTGAACCTAGCCTCAAAGAGCATGGCAGCGAGGCAACTAGCATTTTCATTAGCAGGTCCGCAATCGTGACATCTATCAGTACAGGTTCCCTTTGCTTTCTCAGTGCTGGCCCAGCTCCATCTACAAGTGAACAGTCACACTGCCAACAAACTTAGCAACTTCCACTGCCAGCATTACAAAAGTCTCCCTCAAAGAGTCCACCGGATGCAAACCAGCGGCAAGAACCAAAGTAATAATGCAGAATATAAAAGATGATCGATTATAGATTGAGTATTAGGTATGAGTTGGTGCAGAGCAGCGAATACCTGCAATACCAGCGCGGATCGTCGCGGCTGCTGTGCCCATAGAGTCCGTGCAGATGTGCAGCGCTGGATGACATGGCAAGGGAGGAACAGAAGAAGATGAAGCCTGAGAAGTGACAGCCGGGATCCCCATACCACACCCGGGACCCCAAGACACACTTACTGCCTGCTTGTCACTTACCGGTGAGGAGGAAAGCTGCTGAGGACTGGTCCCCGATCTCTCTGATAGTCCCAGGCACCGGCAGCAATGTCTTGTTTTCCAGACTTCTCTCTGAGTTCAGAAGAAAAAAAAAATTCTGACTTCCCCTCAGTCCGGAAACATTGAAGTGATGCAACAGTTCCCACATGTGGCTGATCTAGACTGCTCTGTAAATGTATGATTCCAGCAGAGGAGCAGAGACTGCTCAGTACATTGCCAGGGAGAGAACTTACATAGGACCTCAGTGTTCTGTCATATGAGGGACACACAGGGTGCAGATCCCCTGTGTCTTCACACAGCCACATTCTCTTTACAATGATACAAGTATCAAGTTGTAACATTTAGCACAGCATTTCCCTACTGTTAAGAGGATGCAAAATCTTGAGGCACCCCAGTAGTTTCAATTTAACAATGGGAGAAATAATGTGCGGTTCCCCCCAAATCTATACCATTCCCCCTAAATCTATACTATACCTTATCCTACATAGGGGTCTGGTATTGAATTTAAACTTGAAGTAAACTGCTTTGATTTTTTTTTATCTACATGTGCAAGCAGTGGCGGACCTATTAACCAAAGGGCCCTGGTGCAAGACTTTATCTTGGTCCCCCCTCCCAAGCCGGGGGGCGGGAGCAGGACCGGATCACACAATAGGTGAAGCATTCCAATGCTTTCTCAGCTGTTCCAGGGCAGATACCGGCTGCACCAGTGGTATTTCCTCCCCTGTGTGCAAGTATAAGTATGCTTACCTTAGAAGTGTGCCCCTCTCTAGTACTGTCAGATCAATCTTTGGTCCTCAGCACTGTCCTTCATTGCCGACACTACCGGGTTATTAGAAGTCCTCTTCGGCCACTTGGTAGCCACCGATGATGAAATGCAGCATCTTAGAGATGCCGTGAATGGGCTGAGTGAGTACACTGCACTGCGCATTCACCATACAATATGCTCAGGAGATTTTAAAAAATCACTGAGGAAGAAAGGAAGATTTGTTTTGGCAGAAGAGACTTGTATGTCTCTTCTCCAAAAATTCCAACCTCTCAGCATTTTTATTTTTTCAGCTTTAATTCTGCTTTAAGGAGGGAGCCTAATAAAAAAAAACTAAAACATGATGTGAAGTTCCCCCTTTACATCACATCAAATGATGGGAAAGGATATTCAAGTTCTTTCCCATAAAAATCCCATTCACATCGGAGTCCTCCCTTCACATCAGGATCCCCTTTCACATCAGAGTCCCCCCTTCACATCAGAACCCTCTTCATATCCAGAGCCTCCCTTTCACATCAGGAGCCTCCCTTCACATCAGAGTCCCTCTTTCACATCAGGATCCCCTTTCACATCAGGAGCCTCCATTCACATCAGAGTCCCACCTTCACATCAGAGCCCCCTTCAAATCAGGGCCCCTTCACATCAGAACCCCCTTCACATCAGAGTTCCCTTCACATCAGGATCCCCCCTTCACATTTGAAGGCACCCCAACAAAGCCAAAAGGCACCCAGGGTTCCACTACACCCTGGGTGAGAAAGGCTGCCTTAGGATGTGTTCTCATTGGTCGATTAAAAAAGGACTTTCATCCCCCATTTACTAGTTGCGCCCATGAACGCGCACCCAAACGCAGCAAGCAAGATGTGAATCTTGGTGTGTGTATTAACACGCGGTCACAAAATGCACAAAGCTCACAGCTGAAATTTCTGCATGAGCTTCTTTGCTGCATTTGTTGGCCGTAGGACAGCCCATTAAAATGAATGGGCCCCCTATGCAGACATGCAACAAATGCGGAAAAGCATGCCAAGACGCACAGCATGTTTAGTGTGAATGGGGGCTCAAGCTGAACTCAGGCAGACATAAACTATACAAATGAATACAGCTCTTTATTCAATAATGCGGAAGTAAACTTTGAAAAAAAAATACTGCTAGAAAGTAGAGTTTTTTTGGCAGAAGAGAATTTGCAAAATGTCTGCGCCCCACCTCTAGCAGTTTTTTATTTCTTGTGTACACTGCACCGGGCATGCACTGTGTAGTGTACTGCCCTGAGTCCTTCCCTGTCGGTAATGGAGCTGAGTGCTGAGGACAATGTAACTTCTATCCATATGTTGCATAGTTACATAGTATTTGAGGTTGAATAAAGACCTATACCTGTACCTGCACCCCTGTATATTACGGTCTCTGAGGAAGGTATCTAAATGCTTCAATACTCTCAGCTGATACCACTGCTTGTGGCAGAGAGTTCCAGAATTTAACCGCTCTAACTGAAAAAAAGCCCTTATGCCCCTTTTGGTTAAATCTTTTCTCCACCAGTTTTAGGTGGCGACCTCTAGTCTTTGTTATGGAGTTTACCGTAAACAGTTTATTGCTAATGTTGCCATCACCACTAAACATTTTGTGCATCAAAATCATATCCCCTCTTAGTCTCCTCCCTTCCAGCGTGAACAAGTTTAAATTTAGTAACCCCTTAAAGGAGAACTACGGGGTTAGGGCTTTTCCCCATAGTTCTCCTAAGGGTAACGGGAGGACACAAACTAGCGTCCTCCCGTCACCCACAGCTCAGTATACCGCAAGTTACAGCTAGCGGTATACTGAGACGCCGCAACTGAAGCGGATCCCGACAATTATGTCTGGATCCACCCAACTGCGTGAGTGACAGCTGGCTCTGCCTATCTAGAGGCAGAACCAGCTGTACCCGCCCCCTCCCCCGTCCGTTCCGCCAGTCAGCTCTGGAGGATCGGACAGGGGAGGGGGGAATCCAGTCCCTCCCCTGTCACGGCTCTCTGCCATCACAGCATCGAGAAGTGAGCGAGCGCCGGTATGTGTTCGCTCACTTCCCGATCTACTGAGCCGACCTGTGACAGTTACATTGTCACAGATCGGCTAGAACTACGAGGATGAGTGAAAATCACTCATTGGCAGCCCAATGTATAAAGAGAAGGAGGGGGGGACCGGGAAGAAAGAGCGGAGATGATGGCGGTGGTGGTGGATGGAGCAGGGACTGGTAGCCTAGATTGGTCAGCAGAGAGGAGTACACACTATGCTGTGCATACTTGTACATTATCGGAAAAGTTCACCTTAGATCTTACAGCTTTACTTCCGCTTTAAAAGAGAAGTAAAGCCAATCCTTTTTGTTTTTGGCTATACTTCTCTTTCGGGTGACATTTACTAATGTACTCCTGTGATAGGTTTACTTTAATATGCACTTGTACAGCATTTTGAACTTTAAAAAGTAAAAATTGTGTGTAAAAGCAGAAGCCACAAGATTCCCTCTTTACCCTCATTATCCAGGAAAGTCACTCTCTGTGTTCTTCTCTGATTTATTTACTTTCCTTGGCTGCATAACTAAGATCCACCTTTTGCCATCTCCTTCTCCAGTGAGAGTCCCCCGTTACAGGATTTCATAGAAAGTCAGGCCCCGGCAAAGGGATGGAAACAAAATCAGAGAGTGGTAATATTTCTGTCAGTCAGCTGTGGGGGTTCACTCAGGTTTTCCCACTTTCTATCATATAAAAATCCTTAGAACGTATTCACACCGTAGTGTTGCGGTAAATTTAAGTAATCGCACAGTGCACCTAGCGTTCAGTAGTGTGCTCTTGGTGCGTTGCCATTCATTTGAATGGTATTCCAACACACCTCCAGGTGGCCTTGCATTGCAGCACGACATGCAGTCCTGCAATACATGGCATTGCAGTGAAAAAGAGGAGCACATGCACGGCTTTTTTTCACCGCAGCACAATGCACAGTATTGTGATACCATGTATTGCAATACCACACATACCGCCAGGAGGCACGCTGGGGTGCCATTCAAATGAATAGCAATGCAACGCACCAGCTCATAGTACTGCACACTACGTGCACTGTACGATAGCATGCACTAAACACACAGATATCACGCATTTAGCACAACTCTATAGACTCCCCATAGACTAAGATCTTGCACTGGGGGAAAAGACTAAAATTAACGGACTATGTTGGTCTATGAAGAATCAGTTGTAAATGTGTCCATTTACATCAGATTATCCCCGATCCGCCACGATCAGGTCCCCCGAAACGGAACTCTGTTTTTCTGGACCTGGACGCAGTCGGGGGTAATGGTATGTATTTGGGACACACGTCTGTTTAGATTCGGCTGCCCATAGACTAACATTGGGCATCGGATCAGATTTACCTGAAAAACTGTCAGACGGACCTGATCGGAATGCCTGTGTGAAAGGGGCCTAACTCTAGCATCAGCTAAGAACTGAAATATCAGATTTTTTTTGGACTTTTGCTTTAACCCGCCACTCTGGGCAACCGGCAAAAATTACTTTTGCAACAGGGCTTCCTGCTCTGCAAAGGGCAAGTGCTTGTTTTCCCTAGCATTATTTTTTTTATCCCAGAGTTCAGCTATAAGTCAAATGTTTATTCTTTATTTAAAATAATTTAATTGATGACAGCAACATTTCCTAAATGAAACTGTGGTATAATGAAAAATGCTACAACAAAAGACTAAGCCACATGTTACATCCAAAGTCTGCTACCATTCTAGCCTGTGGTATGTACTGGAATGGAAGAACTAGTAATGAGTCACAGTAAGCTAATAATGAATATTCTGGTCAAAAGACAATCTTCTATTTTCTTGAGCTTTATTTTTTACATATGCATATATATATACATTTTACTTAGACTAACATTATGTTACTATCGTTATTGCATAATACTGCGGATGATCCGCTCGCAGTATGGAGACTGCTTATGTGCAACACACATGAAACTCTGTATCACTTGACTAAATATTATACACGCAGGTTACATTCACAGTCTTTGTAACATTTGTAATACACCAAGGTTTACCACTGTCACTAAGTTTTTTTGTACACATACACTCATGAACTGCAATCTTATGTCACGGCAGATTGTAGCTAATTGATCTCACTTACATGCACTATCATTGTTGAAAGTCAATACACGTTATAGGCTAAACACAAGGACTTTTTGGATTGGAACACACCTAATACTTGATTGGCTCACATTAACTGACAAAGGCAAATATGTATGTTTTGAATTATACAAATATATTTA